AACAATTGTATAGCATTGGTAAATTACTGCGAGATTGCTTCCTCCTATAGAATAATGCTTAGCAGAAGAATTTAACAAGTAATAAATTGGAGAATTTCGGTACCACTCTTTTTGTAATTAAAATATTTATATAATTTTTACATTGTAAATATAATTGTCCTTATTTTCTTATTAATTAGTTGTATATAAATAGATTGAAATATAATTTTGTTATAAAAAACATACTCCTCTGACGGTCAACAGACAATGTAGCACGTCTGATTTTCGGTTTTAAATCCAAAAATATTATTTTGTAATTGATATCATGTAATTTTGATAAATAAAAAGACTTTTTCTTCTTCTTCTCTCTTCTAATGGAGTCTTCAACTGGTGGACTCTTAAATATTGAAACATTACAAGTGAAAGATTTTTTGAAAATTTTGTTAGTTTCCACCTTTAAAAGCTACAACTCAAAAATATTTTTAGGATGTATGTTTACCTTGAAACTTTATTAAAAGAATAGACAATAGAATAGGGTGAGTGTGATTGTTTCGGTGACACCTATTCTGAAATAATGCAAATGACCTACACAGATGGCATCTCTTCAACCTGGAGGAGTTGTGACCCTGTGTCATGTCAGAAGATTCAATACGGTACTGTGTGAGCAGAACCAAGGTGAGGACTTGTATTTTAGAAATTACAACCAGTAAACTGTTCATCGTCTGCATGTACTGCTGATGACATTATGCTAATAGCTTACAGTAAAGAAAAGCTACAGGCAAATTTAGATGTCTGGACTGAAAAAGTTAGCAAAAAGAAATATGGCTATTAGCACTTACAACACCAAGTATATGCTGGTGTCTAGAAACAACAGGAATTTGAGAATTAGTATTAATGAGGAGATTATAGAGCAGGTTCCTACCTTCAAGTATTTCGGTGTGAAGACCAGTGAGAGCTGAAAAATCAGGGATGAAATAAATAGGAGAGTTGCCACTTCAGGAAGGATGTTATCTGCCACCAATAGAAAGTTTTTAAGTAAGAAAGAAGTGTAAAAGAAACAAATAAAACAAAATAATGCAAAAGAAAAAAAATTAGCTGTATATCTCTCGACATTCGTCCCTATCCTCACTTACAGAAGCGAATTCTGGGCCCTAAAGCAGCGTGATCGCAGCCGCCTCCAAAGTATGGAAATAAGGTATCTGAGAAAAATAGAGGGGAAAACCAAGAGAGATCAGATATGTTACTCATGATATGAACTACACTTAAAAATTGAACACCTCAACAAGATAATAGAGAAGGGCAGCTTCGATGGTTCGGTCATGTATGAGAATAGATGGCACATTCAGCGAAGAAAACAATGGAGGCTAGACCAGCAGAATGACCTAGAGGAAGACCAAGAATTACTTGGGAGGATAATCTCAAACATATTCTGAAAGTTAGAGAAATCGGATGGCTGGAGGTCAGGAGAGTAACCATCGACAGAGATGGATGGAATTCCTTGCGCAAAAATGTCTACACTGAAAGATAGAAGCGATTATTGAATAAGAAGAAAAAGAAGATTCTCCACACCTGGCTTCAAAATTCCAGATCATATCCATATTACCCCTTTTTTCAAAACTTCTCTTACCCCAAAATAAATATTTAAGGGGTAAGTGTAGATCTTTGCCTGCTGATGGTTGGAGCTAGCCAGAGACCCTTCTCTGGTAAGTAGTGGAATCTACTAATGATGGCCAGCACCCTAGGGAGAGGAAGCAAAGATGACAACAAGGGTTGGTCAGGTGGCTCCCTGTGCCGCAGGCGGAAAATGCCTCTTCGGTCGGCTTGGGACTGATGATGGCTGATGGCTGATGACCTCAACGATTAATAGCCGGCAGATCATATGGTAACAGACATGGAAACCGTCATATGGACTTCAGACTAGGAATGTGAAACATTTTATCTTTATATAGACCAGGTAGGCTTCAAGTCCTCCTTTCAGAACTGGACAAATACAAACTTGACATTAGCCCTATTCAGGAGATCCGATGGACCGGTCATGGGCTGTTGGAGAAGAAATTCCACACAACATATTATACCCATAACCAGATTGACCACACCTTAATTAGTGCACGTCACAAATCCAATCTCCTTAATAGTAGGACTTAGAGGAGAGCAAATGTTGACTCTGACCATTACCTTGTAATATCAAGAATAAGAGCCAGGATTGCCACCGTTAGGACCCACAGGACTGAAGATCCAAAAGGTGGAACATCAGAAAGTTGAAGGACCCAGAAAGCTGCCAAGGATTACAACAGAAAATGGAAGAATTGGTGAGAGACGGACTCAGAGTAGCTGACATCGAAAGTGTACAGGATGTCTGGGACCAACGGGAAAAGGCTTTGGACGGCGCAGCAGAACAAATCCTTGAGAAGGAGGTTCTTGAGGATCGAGGTAAATGGTTCGACGAGGAGTGTAAGTTGGTCAATGATGTGAAGAATGAAGCGTTCAGAAACATGTTAAATAAGCGCTTCACCAGGAGAGCCACGGAGGAATATAGAAACAAAATAAGGCTGGAGAAGAAACTCCTCAGGAATAAGAAGAGAGCATGGGAGAGAAAGGAGCTGGAGGATATAGGGGCCCATTGGAGTGTAAAATAAAGTATAAAATTCTTCCAGAAGGTCAATAGTGGACGTGCCGCTTTTAAGCCTAGTATTCAAACATGTATGAAAGAAGATGGAACACTGCTTACCAATAAGCCGGATATACTGGATCGGTGGACTAGGCACTTCCGTTTGTTATTAAATGAGGAAGCTGTTATAGAGGACATTGAGACACACGACTTTGCTGGAGATAATATGCCCAACAATCTTGGAGATATCGAGTCCCTGGACTTTGAGGAAATAATGGATGCAATTTTTCGCATGAAAAACAATAAGGCGTCGGGACCGGATGAATTGCCAGCCGAGCTCTTCAAGTATGGGGGAGATGAGTTGCATAGAGCACTGTCCGATATAGTCCTGACAATTTGGGATCAGGAAAGAATACCACGACAGTGGACTAATACTATAATATGGCCTCTTTATAAGAAAGGAGTCCAACTTGATTGCACGAACTATCGTGGGATAGTCCTGTTGTCTTGTGCCTACAAGATCCTCTCGAATATCCTTTTCAGCAGACTTACCCCATTTGCGGAATCGGGAAATATCAAGCTGGCTTCTGGAAAGGCAGATCCACTGTTGATCAAGTGTTCATCTTTAGGACAATTTTGGAATGGGGTCATGAATATAAAATCCCTACACACCACCTGTTTGCCGACTTTAAGAGTACATATGACAGCATCAAACGACCTAAGCTTTATGAGGCGTTGAGAGAAATGGGCATCCCATGCAAACTGATACGTCTCGTGAAGTTGACTATGAAAGATATAAGGTGTCAGGTACGGACTGCTCTGATGCATTTCCTTCCAACAAAGGACTAAGACAGGGGGATGGACAGGCCTGTCTCCTCTTCAATCTTGTACTGGAGAAAGCTGTACGGGATTCAGGAATCCAGGCAGACCACACGATATTCACCTGTACAGTACAGATATTGGGATACGCTGACGATCTGGATATCGTGGTCAGGACCCAATCGGCATTGGTAGAAGCCTTTAGGAAACGCACGGACGCTGCTTCAGCCATGGGGTTGGCCATAAACGAGAATAAAACGAAATATATGCACACAGGACTGGTGGCGACGAGGCACTCAGTGCTGTCCCTTACACATTCCAAAGATTGAATGAGTTTACATATTTGGGATCCCTAGTAACACCAATCAACGATGTCTGTGCTGAGATAAGGGAAAGGCTGATGGCAGCCAATAGGGCATATTTTGCCTTCCTGAAAACTCTCCGCAGCAGATCCATTACTAGGGGCACTAAACTGGTCATATACAAGACTCTTATACGCCCAGTTCTTACCTATGCTTCCCAATCCTGGACCATCTCAAGAAGTGATGAAAATAATCTTTTGATTTTCGAATGAAAAATCTTATGGCGAATAGTTGGTCCAGTGAGAGATGGAGATGGGTGGAGGATTAGGAGAAACAGGAAGCTTTATGACCCTCACGGAGACATGGACATTGTAAAGTTTATAAAACCGGGGAGTTGTGATTGGAAAGTTGGGCTGGTCATGTCGCAAGGATGGAAGCTAAAGAAATTCCTAGAAAAGTAGTGGACACCGCCCTTCACAGTACACGACGGCCTGGAAGGCCAAGGCTTCGATGGGTTGATGGAGTGGCAGCGGACGCCTACTGCTACGGATCAGAAGCTGGAAAGCAGCAGCATAAAATCGGGGGCACAAACTAGGGGCGGCAATTCGACGAATGGCGGCAGCTCATTGAGGAGGCCAAGTCCTTCCCAGGGTAGTTGCGTCACGTATATAGATAGATAGAAGTGCAGATCTTTGCTTAAACTTTAATGATTTAAAAATATTGTTACTATTAACATATCATCCATAAATTGATTCTGTATAGTATCAACTTAATAAAAAGAAAAAAGAAAAAATGGAAAACAGCATTAATTTTGATGAATTTATGAATTTTAAAGAAAACAAGAAATGTTTCTTTGATTATATGATAAAATTTTAAAACAATTTAAAAAATAAGAAATTTAGTAAATCACTTAAACAGGAGGTTTCTAAAACATTTATAGCTTGTGTTGTTTCTCTTAGAAAGCTCATTTCACAACTGAAATCTTATTTATACATCATAAGTCATGGCCCGCAGTACTTAATGGAGATCTCAATGTGGCCTGTGGGCCAAAAAGTTTGGAGACCCCTGGTCTCTTAAAAGCCAAAACAGTAACCTACTTTTCTACAAGAGCTCAACGTTGAAAAAATCTGCTACACTCCTTAGTAAAACGCTTATTTAACTCCCCCTGACTTGCCTTATGAGCTTTTAAAATGAAATGTTTTAATTAAATAAAAAGCTTGAATGAAATATAGAGAATAAAATATGTAATACTCAAGTTATTACATTTTTATTAAGAAGGTAAAAAAAACAAATAAAACAAAAATAAATATATATTCCATTTTAAAATGCAATACATTAAATCCACATTAAGTCAAAATTATAAATTAAAAACTTAATTAATATATTTGTATCAACCACCAAAGAATATAAATCATATATAAAACAAACTTTCTCTTTAATATTCACAAAAATTAAATTAAATTAAATAATTAGAGATATATCGAACTTTGGAAAACTAGTAAAAATATAACGATTCAGTTATTACTAATCAGTCTCCATTTATTAACAACTACACTTTGGTAACTCATGTAAAAAAATAAGCCAATAATTAATAGAAATTAAAATATGTTTTTTTTGTCTGGGGGTGGAGATAAATTAATTTAGTTAATTAACTAAAGTTTAGCCTAAAGGCAAACTTGGTTTAACATTCATATAGCCACCAACAAATTATTAAGAGCAATTCCTTCTTACAAAACAATTTAAGGCAAACAACTTTATTACTACATACAAGCTGTGAATAACATTTTTAGTATGAGATTTCAAAAAATTTAAATTTAAAAAGTTTTTTCAATTCTTTTTGATACTAAATCTGTTATGTGATTTTATTTCTCTTGAGGTTGGTGAGATTGAAATTGATGGTATGTCACCAGGAAGGGACATGAAGAAATAGAGGGACCTCAAAAACTCCATGATGACAGTCAATCAGCCAAGGAAGATTGGCCCACCAATACTGCTACTGGTAGATAGTGTGACAGTTGACACACAGTCTCTCTTAGGAGAACAATAGCAGAAGACAACAAGACCGCATGTATAAAATGACACCAATTCTGGTTCTTCAAGAGTTTAGAGCACCATTAAAGAAACAATTTGTTATTTAACAGGTATCTTTGGAATTTTTAAAGGTTAAGTCGTCCACTCTTTCCAAAATATTTTGAGGCATCTGAAAAAATGTTAACACAGGCATAAATTTTTAATACAATGTTCCTTAACATTTATTTATCCACATGACAAAAATTTGTCATTTCGCAAACAATCATCAACTGCCAAATAACAAAAATTTGTCATTTGTATATTACAGAAAATAATTTATTGTTGTTCTTTTAATTCTAAATAAATTAAATCATAAGTTTTACCAAACAGTAATAAAGAGATTTGAATGGTGGTACAAAAACTTACTGGATAAATATATGTTAAGAATAACAATTGTGTACAGAAAAATAAATATTATTTCTGGCCATAACACCTATTAAAGTAAATGAATGACTAAAATACATATGTACATATATCATAGGTGCCAACTTATGAAAATTATCTGGAGGGCTGGAGGAATGGGGGACCCTGTCATGCTTGTGTCACTGATCAAAAAAGGACATCGCTATACAAATTCTGTAATACCTGCTAGTAGATCGATGAGTCCTATTTAATGGAATTGAATTTACAAGACCCAATATGTTCATGAAGTTTGTATTTTAGCAATTTGTTGAGGGGGCTGAGCCCCCATAACTGCAAATTGGGGAGCTCAAGCACCGCGAGCCTCTAGTAGTCGGTATCTATGACATAAATATATATATTTAGTCTGGCCTGAGACAACCACCAGTTAACTTACCTCTGTGTTATTTCATATTTTATTTAGTTCAAGTTGCTTCCTTTTTCTATTTGAAATCCAAGTTCATAGAAGTTAAATACAAATCATACTTTTTCACATTTCAACAAGAAGTGAAATTATTGAAATTATATAAACTATTACAGTGGTAAACAACCGAGCTCTGTAGGATTAAATCTTGTTGTTGGCCTTACATATCATAACTACCAGTCTTGCCATAAGTAAGATATATTTACTTATTGAATATTTAATAGTTGACCATTGCATTATAAAGGAAGGAGATGGGCTGGGATGGTGGTCATAAATAGGCTAAATAGTGAAACTGAAGTTCTAAGTGAAACTCCTAGCTGAACACACCTCCCTGAAGAACACCTGCAAAGTTGGGTCAAAGCGTCGGCTTTTAATAAAATAGTTTTACCACTATTTAGCCTATTTATGACCGCCACCCCGGACCATCTCCTTCCTTTAAGATATATTTACCATTTAAAAATATGGCTCCTCATAGCCCGTTATGCAGCAGCTCCATCGCTCGCAAGGAAAAAATATTTTATGATGCGCTAAGTGTAAATTATTATTCTACAGAATGTGTTGTAAACTTAGCGACAAAGAGTTCGAGGCCCAAAAATATTTAATAAAATTTGGTTGTGTTCTAGCAGGGATCAGTCTGACACTATCAGAAATTCTTGGGGCAATAACTCGGTTGGATAAAAACGTACATGAAGAAATTAAAAAAAAATAAATCAGCTCTGAATAAGTACCAATATAGACTAAATGGTACTAAATGGAGATTTGAGCTTTGAATTAAACGCAAGACTCACTAAAATTGAAAATCAGCTAGAGGGACAAAGCAAACATTTAGAAGATATACTATCCAAAAAATAAATCTTTTAAATCAAGAGTAGATGAATTGGAAGTCAGGCTGAATAAAGCCAAATAGGATCTGCTTTCTAGATCGCTCGAGATCAGAGGCATCCTAGTTCGAGCGGGTAAGACTCCAGCCCTGGTGACCAGTATAGGGGTCAGCTTGGTCATCAAGCTTAGTGTCGATGACCTGGACACAGTACAGTGCCGTAGAGGTAGAAAAATATTTATCATATCATAGCAATTTCTGAAACTTGGCCCAAGCAATACATCCCTACCTCATCTGTTTCCCTCCCTAACTACACACTAATCCACCACAACCGGGTCAGCCAGACTGCCGGAGATGTAGCTATGTTTGTTTGCGAGAGCTTGAAGACTCGAATACTCCACTGCTCTCCTCCATCTGATCATCCACAAGTTGAGTTCCTTATCGTTGAAATTTCCGGTAATGCCTCTTCTATCCTAAATTCCTTTATACCGTAGTATATCGTTCTCCTCTGGTTCCCTTTTGAATCATCCCTCTTCAACTTTGTTCCCCTTTATTCCAAAATTATTATTTCCAGTCAATTAAACACTAATTTCCTAGAATTAGTTCTGACTCCAGCGATAAATCGTATCTGGAAAACCTTTTTTTCTGTGTTCATCTTGTCATCGTTCCTTTTACTCCTACTCATCACACCACCAGGTCCGACACTTGATTGGATCTGTACATTATCAATGGATGTATTGACATTATAACATGGATGTATTGACTCCGCTCACAACCTCCTTTCCTCTTCCCAATTACCAGTGTCCTTTTTATCTTTGCTGACTTAATCCAAATATCATATAATATTCAAACTCCTCTGACCCTACCTAGAACCATAACTTTCCGTAACCTTGATGGCCTTACTAAAAAAAAAAATTATTCAATCTGGAAACCCTAGATTGGAATAGAATATATTCCTGTTCTTCAATTGACTCCATGGTTGACATCCTCACCTCCAACCTCCTTTATATTTTTTTTTTGGTTTGATGCCTAAGCCCCCCAAAATATCTCTACCACGATCGTGCTCTCTGGATGTATCAGCAAATTAAGGTTCTTCAGAAGAGACGTGCGTAAATGCTTTAGATGTACTAGGCTGGCTGACGACTATCAAGCGTTGACGACTGCAACCTAACACAAATCACATACCGACTAGCCAAATTGTCCTATTTCCAAGAAACCATTTCATCAGCTTCTGATTCCAAATCCAAATGGCTACTCCTTCGTAAACTCTCCCTTTGTGAACCTTCCAGATCCCCTCCCTCAACAGTCTTTCCAGTTTCACCAGATGATTTAAATTCATATTTTATATCTGCTTCCTCTTCCAATCCTCCATTTACCTCTTCCTTCTTTTCTTCTGGAACATGTTTCAACGACTTTTACTTTTCAGATATTTCACCCACAGACCTCATATCTGCCGTGATGAAATCACATACTAATTCTATTGGTCCAGATGGAATCACCGCCAAATTAATCAAATTATGCATGCCTGAAATCCTTCTGGTTCTCCTTTTCATCTATAATTTCTCCCTCCAAAACTCAGTATTCCATACCTCATGGAAAAAAGCCACCATCTGTCCATTAAATAAAATCTTTAATCCTTCTTCCCCAAGATTTCCACCCAATCTTAATCCCTTCTAACCTCTCAAAACCCCTGGAAAGAATAAAGCAATCCCAAGTTTCCAATTTCCTAGAACATTCCAATCAACTTGACCCTTACCAATCTGATAATACACCAATTCTCGATTGTCGTCCACATCTACATAGTCAGAAAATTGTAAGAGAGGTGAAAAACCGAGCATTCATACAAGAGATAAAAGAGGAAACAAACAAGTGAAAATTTGTACCACCATTGTTTCCACTGGCCTATTTCTAAGCAGTTATAAGATTGTTGGAACTGTGAAAAACCAAGCATCCATTTCGATGGTTAACCGACAGTATTATCATACAAAGTGTTCCCGACAGCTAAAAGAAAATAGAAAATATTTTATACTCATTTTCCTTTTATTCTATCCCTAAACAGAGGAAAATTGTGTTTTTGATTTTTTGATTACGATTACATGATTACGATTACAGTGGTTTTGATTACAATGATTATAATTACATGATTACTCCATTGTAATCAAAATCGAAAACCATGATTACAATTACAATTGTGTAATAAAATAATTGTGTTATTTTCTTATTATATTCGTAATTGTAATCGTTGACTATAATTATGCCCATCTATGTCTACATCTAACTTTTTATATTAATATTTTATTATAATATGTCATTATGAAATAGGTCATAAATTATACAGTATCAGAACATTGTAGTGTTTACAAGACAAACTAAAAAAACATGGATTTTAAACAATCTATTGGTATCTACCGCGAATATTTTTACTATATTTATTTTACATGAAATACTTTATATACTTATACTGCATGAAATAACTATTTTGCATGAAACATTTATTATTTAACATAAAATATTTGAAATAAATAGCTATTGATAAGTTAGAGCAATAATTTCAAAAAATATTTTGTTCATTGAATACCTTTTTTAAATAAATCAAAATGAAAACAGAATTGTTGATCATGTTTCAAACTATTGCTAACATTTGGCCCCACCTTGAAGTGGCCAGCACCCAGCCCGGTCGACAATAGAACCCTCCAAGTATGTTTTGGAGCTTTAGTATCCCATCCTCGTCACCAAATGTCAAGTACTTAGAATACTAAAGCACAAAACTACAATATTAGTGAACACAACTATTTTATTCATCATAAAAGATAACACTCTTAGGTTAATACAACTGAATCACTGATTAGTATAATCGATATATCACAAAATGGATCAGATTCAAAACCCTGTAACCCTCATATTTGTAGTATGCCTAAGAGAGTACAAGCCATTATTCAAGAAAAAGGAGGCAACACTAGGTACTAGAGACTCGGATTTCATAATTTAAAAAGAATGAGATGCATTTTATTCCTGTTTGAAAGAGCGCTCATTAGCTTTATTTTAAATTACGATTTTTTAAAATGAATTTTGGTTGTTTTTTCCCCTTCATTTGTGGTATTCTACAAGCAGAATATGTCACACTATATTGAACTTTAAAAAATTGCAATTTTTTGGGGGAAAGAAATAACAAAATTTAAGGTGCGCCAGTTTGTTTGGACACCAGTGTATATATATAAACTATTTTATTTATAATTATTTTATACTAGAAGATTATAGCGATACAACAGTGTATGCCATGTTACTGTAAATGTAATATTTCATATATACTCACATAACTTTTAAACAGAAGAAATTTACCTATAGAATTAAATTCAAGATAAAATAAAAATTAATATTTTATTATTTTGCTTTTAATGTATGCTTCGTGTCGACCAAAGGGCTTAAATTCAAATTCAAAACCCTAAAAAACATAATCAGACAACATTTGAGCAGTATACTGCAATTT